GTCTACTCCATAGACTGCATTTGCGATAGCCAAGCCATTCGGCGATGGCGACAGCGATTTGCAGGGTCTTTTCTAGCGGTAGTGCGGGCTTTCTGTAGTGCTACGGGGCTCTTGGAACGAATGTACTGTGTAATGTCAAGTAAGGCCGAGAAGAGTGAGAGAATCTAGGTCGGATTAGGCAAGAGGAAGCACCGAGAGGAAGAAGAGGAAGTGGAGTGAATCGGCGGGTATTCCCATCAAGAGTCCCCTACCAGTTTCGCCATCTTGGATACCCATGCCGCAAGCCGAAAATCATTGACAGAAAGCTGGGGCGCGGGAGATAGGCCTGAAGGGGTTTGGCGATTGCTCGGAAGGGGATCGAGGGGTGTGAATCGTGATACCAGGAATGAAGAGAGAAGCTTGGAAGTCGAGGTGACAATCCGGAGGTCAATGGGACCAGGAGCCGGGATTCGGCCCACAGATGCAAACCGGGCAGGAATGGGAAAATGGAAGGAAAGAAGCCATTGCCTCCCTCTGGGCGCATCAATGATCGGGGCAGTCACCACCTCACCGGCTCACCCTCAGGCCAGGACCCGCCCTGGCCCGCTTGGGGAGCATCTTTCGATGTTTCCCCACAGATAAGGTCAGACCCGTCCGGCGTCAGAGGAGGCTCCCAGATCCTGCCGCGCCTGCTACCTCTTCCAACAGCTGCACCTTCCCCCCATCCTCCACACGCCCCTCCCCTTGTCAATCCCGTCGTGCCTTCCTCCCCCCTCCAGGTCTCCCCCTCTGCTCCCTGCTTTCCCCAGCCCATTCCCCCAGAACGGACCGGGGCTGCCGTAAAAAGACGGTACCACAGGCCTGGCGCCTTTCGCCGTTGCTGATTGACGGAAATTGCCCTCCGTTTCTCCTGATTCGGCTTCCACCGAACCACCGCGGTATCGCCAGTCTCCAGACCGAGGAGATATTCGGGAGCTCCTTGCCTATCTCTGCTCATTCATCAAGGGCCCATAGCCTCATGGAAGGCTCTCCCCCACCTGATTCGGATTGCCCAAAGCGGAAACACAGTCCAGCCATGGTGTTTCTCTGGGGTCCGGGCCTCGACGTTGCATCGTCTTCTTCTCGACTCCATTCAGGGTCTCAACACTCTCGCCCGCAATCCCTACTGTGTAGATATCCGGCGACGGAATCATGCACGCACGGGAAGCAAGCAAACCGCCCCTGAGCACAATGAAACACAAACTGCTTGTGCATCTCGGCAGCCTTGACGGCCTGCAAGGGGTTGAATCTGAGAATGCCAGAAATCGACTATTCGGATACTGTTCCGCTTCTCCCCCCGTGTCTCGCCATTTCATCTATTCCTGGCCTCTCGTCTGTCACGGTCTGTGTCCCTTCTAACTTTGTTCTCGATCAAGAATCAGTCCCCATCTCCCTACAGGCTACGTACACCAAAGCACACTTTTCTCAATCCTTCTCAGCCGGCATCGAACCAACTCTTCGTCCCGCTTCTCCGCTCGCTGCACATTTACCCGCCTACCACGTTTGGCTGAGAGAACTAGCACCCAATTGTTCGTACACTACCGAGTACCAGCACCTCGTCGCATGAGGCTTGTCAATGGTATCGCCGGGGTAATTAGAACCTGGCTCGCGCGACTGAGCAGGATGCGGGGGGGTTCCTTGGCCTGGAACGGCCGATTTGCCCTTTGCTTTGCCAAAGTTTAGATACAGCGGCCGCCAATCCGAGGACCAAACCACCTCAACGCGCCGCCTGTCACTACCCGTTGCCAAACTGGCGCTCCAATCACATCGTCTCCTGCTGGCTCCCCATATCTACAGGTTGAGCTGCCTAGTGTCTGATGTCAGCAACTCTTCGAGACATGGCCAATTGATGCGTCGCAACAACCAACTCCTTGTTGCATAGCTCTTATCTGGGGGTTTCTGAATGACTGATGACGATAGACAGGAGACCTCTTGCGTCAACTCCCCATGGCGGAGGATTACGTCCCTTGGCCCAACGACGCCTGGACAGCTGATATGCGCAGACCACACATCCTCCAAGGTGTCTCAATGGGGGTCTTAAGTCTTCGGACCCGTGGTCCGTCTCGGAGGATCAACCCTCCGCTACGTTCTCGTTGGAGAGACCATTCCGCGACCTTCAACGCTTGCTTTACACCATGGTAGTGCTTGGCCGTCGCTGGCCGTCGTTATCTGCAACCGCCTTGGGCAACGGTGAAATATTCGCCATAGTCCTAGTCGCTAATTAGGCGTCAAACCTAGAATCGTCAAAAGACTATGCGTTGCGCCAAATTGGCATCATTAGGGACTTCAGAAGGTTGTCAAATCCCCGATTCCCCAGACGTTTCTTGGGCAATCAATCTCAAACATGCCACGACTCTCCCCCACACTCAGCTAGGCAATTTGCACCTCGCCCGCAGGATTGAAGTTATTGAGCAGGTTGGAATCCACGATGGGGTATGCTGATCTATCAATCTTGCGGCAGCAACACAACGCCAAAACAATAGGCAATGGGCTCTAGGGCGTTGGGTGGTATTTAGAGCGTGCGAGTGACAACTTGACATATCTACGGAAAACCGGTACACTGCAGAGCACAAAAGCGCCAGTTCATCCTGCCGATCCGTCGCACCATAACTTCAGCCGGAGCGTGCGTCTACGTCGAGCTCCCGAAGCACAGCGGATGCATGGTGCCCGAGAGAGATGCCGAGATACAACCCGATTTTGCGTTGTCAATAGTCATGGCGTGCTGATAGACTCGTAGCTACGCCAACAGCGGGAAAAAGTCATCATACTAACCAGTCACGGCTGGTCGGACAGGGAAACAGGTCCGACAAATTACTAGATGAAGCGGGAGTTGCGGGCGAAACCTTCACCAAGGCACCGTGGCACCAAGCATCCCAAGTCCCAAAGACTATCCGTACGCTTGTTTGGTGCGAGGATATCAACTATGTTGGTTTCCAATCCCGCGGATTGACGGCACGGATATTGATCGGATGGGACGGGACAGGCTTCAGCTTCGCCTCAATCCAGGGATGGTCCTGATTTTACTGTCAGCCTGTCATCGGCATACCGAAGCCCTGGCTCGCTGACACACAGCGGGAGAGTCTGATTGACACGGGGCATGCTGGCCTGTCAGCAAACAGGGCCGAGGCCACGGTACGAAACTACGGTTAAGCCTGTGGGAGAGGCCAAGAGGACAAGAGCTGGGCGTACGGATACATATGATATTCTTCAGAGAAGTCTTGACTCCGTGTTATCCTCTGGGATAACTTGGATGGGGCGGCTGCGTCATTGAAGAGATCCATGGATGGATCTGGTTGCTTATCGCCCATTCTGGCGCAAGATTCCGGCTGTCCCAACAAGGTTGCATGAGAGCACGCCTTTTCCCCCACAACTCCATAAAACGACGTCAAAACGCGCTTTAGATACCGGGGTAAATTTCGTGGGGCATCTCGTGGGGGGCTCACACAAACCCGACACACCAGCCTGCCCGCGCCGCTTGAAGAGGGTGTGGTGTGCCATACGATGATGGCTAATGCCGAAGAAAGCGAGATGAGGCCCAGCCACGTCCTTCGGAGTTACGATAAGAACAACTTCGGGCGCAATCGGAATGTAGTCTTCAGCAACCCCCGGAAACCGGAGAGAGCACGACGTTTGCTTGCGGGAACAGGCGTGAGCGGCGCCTACATCACTAGCGATGACATATCGAAGTAAAGAGGGAACCAAGTCATGCGCTCCTTGGAGGTCATCGGACAGGCGCAGCATCTCCTATCTTCTTTGCTTCGTTTACACGCCTCATCGACGAGATTCGAACCAGATCCCCCCACACTTTGGTCAGCCTGGCTTGCGTCTCCCTGCAACCGCGACAAATTGCGACACCCTCTTCTCATAACCCGGGAGGCTTTGCCAAGTCAAGAACCAGACAACTTCCCATCTCAGCTGGCCTTCTTGTCCAGGAAGTTAGCGCATGTGGTCTGTTGGAAGCGCAGATTAGCGCCATCACACCATAACCCCAGTCCTTGGTTCAGCGTCAGGCGGAACGATCAAGAGGAAAGAGTATCTGTCCTTTTGTCTAAGCGCCCCGCGAGGGTGTCTCAACTCCGAGATCATGTTTCGACGAGCTCATCGAGCAAAGGACCTGGCTCCTGAAGTCAAACAAACAGATACCGGTGTACCACCGAGCAGTGCTCACTCTCTTTGACTTTCTCATCCTTCTCGGGGGCGCAATATGAGCGTCGGGCCGTCACTTAGAAAGCAAACTATCTAGCCAGCATTGTCACAAGCCAAGCAACCCAGGTTTATTCCCAACGACTGGACACATCTCATTTACTCGATTGTTCAAATGTCAGCATTCACCTGGATATCCGCGTCATGTCTCGTCTCTTCTCTCCCGCACCAGCCAATCTTCCGCCCTTCCCCGGGAGCATTGGCCGCTTGAACTTACACGGCAGGCGACAGTGCACAATCCTTTGAAGGGCGGCCTCGCCCGCATGCGCTGTCTCGAAAAGCAATTCCATCTCAGGGCTCTTCGAATCGGAACGCCTTCCAAGTAGGCCAAAGACGCCATGCCGCTCTCCCCCAGACTCCCCCGGTCTCCACTTCTCTTGCAACTTGCTTCGTGGCTTTGGCGATCGATTTTTCAGAAATTACCACGCCCATTCTCATAGGCTGTACGTACCGTATAGTCTATCCTCTCACCCTCTGTGGGAGAAGCCTGCATCTACCACACCATCTCGTGTGCCAGTGTGTGTCCAGATCGACCTATCGCTTCATAATGTTATGGCGGTGAGGAAATAGGCAGGTAAACCACGCATGCGTGGCCTTGATTTTCTGTTTAGAGAAACAGGCACAGACAAGAGTCGTGCGCATCGAGGCAGCCATTTGGAGGCGCTCAGAAGAGACACAACAGAAACGCGTTGCCTTGGATAGGTTTCCAGTAGCTGATACCGAAGATAACACCATTGAGCTGCAGCGGACGGACTACCGCTATTGCGGCCCTCATCGCAATGCCGCCCTGCGCTCGGTGGACGCCTCCTCGAGGCCGCTCTACAGGACACATCGCGACGGCTAAACGCCAACGTTGCACCGCGTCCGAAACCATACTTACAGGACTGCTTTACGGCGTCGGAAGTGGTGATGCGCCAGGACTTGCGAATAAGGGCTGGTATGCCAATACCCGGTGAGCAAGCCATGGCTGACGCTCTCACATGTGACGAGTCTTCTCGTAAATGCGACCTACACAGTACACCGGACCTGGCTCAAAGACTCTAGCTGGCGAGGTGGTTCGCGCGCCGCCTCAGCTGCGACAGGGAGAAAAGGACTGGCAGTTTGCATGTGCCTTGACTCACTCGTGAATCCGACAACAAGTGGGCGGCATTCAACGATTCAGCCCAAAACCTTGTGGCATGATAATCAGGCCGGAGTTGTCATCGTGCGAGGAAGGGGACGGCAAGGAACCGCAACGCAATCTGGCAGTCCGACTTGTGCAAGAAACATTGTTTGGTGGCTTTTGCTGCTGCTGCTGCTCTCGGCGCACAAACCAAAGAAGCTGAATTTCGATGAGTCGGAAGAGTTTACGAGTTGCGTTCCTGGCCCAACAGCATCTCGCCACCCAACTACCGAGCCCACCACCCCTTGGTGGCCGAAAATGGGATACGGCAAGGGCAAAAAGCAACCATCCCCAGAAAGCTAACCCACACCATCCCCCCGCCATAGTACGGGGAAAATGACAGTGACATTTCCTGAGTCATCATTCACCGACCTCCGTTTGAAACTGGGGAACACTCAGGGAATTTTTGAATGTCACTGTCTTGGCCGCGCCCCCTTTTAGCCCCTCCGTTGCACAGAACAGCATCCGCAGGCTCCGGATGATGCTATTCTTGGCCGACAACATTTTGCTTGTGTCGTCGCAATGATCTGATATACACAGGGCGCTAGTCGGGGAGGGGGGAGGAAACAAAAAAAAAAACTCCATCCTTCCGGCCACGAAGATCCTATGGAGTTGTCAAACAATTTTCTTCTGGCTTTTCTTCTTTCCCCACGGAAACGAGGCAAAGTGTCAGAGTTGGTGCCAACGCAACGCCTTCATGCCAGGGACAGTGGGGCCGGGTGTGATATCATCCCCCAGAGAAATACGTAATGCCGTCCGTTCCAGACCTTTTTTCACTCTCCTGAATCCCTGGCGAGGAGGGACAGAATGGTAGGGAAGAGAGCTCGAGAGCCGGAGGAGGGGTGCGGCATGAGAAAGGGTTGTTGACTTTTGCTGGAGGGGTCCTTGGGCCTTCAGGGGAACTGACTCTTGCACCTGCCCCGAAACTCCACACCAGCGCATCATTCCATCAGGTTTATCGAAATGTTCGTGCAAGTTGGCATGGGGGGGATTTGGCCGAGATATGGCACGACACAAGCAGAGAAAGTGGTTCTTGCTTCCTACCCTTTTCCCTTCCTTCCAACCCATCTTGACGTAGGTGACTGGCAGGATGGGGTCTCGCGTGCCCCGTTCTCTCAAGTCAAGTCACGTCTTGGTCGAGATTTCTATAACGCCCCCATATTGCCCTATCTTTTTAATCTCCACGGGTCTCGGTCGATCAGGATCTACTAGCGTTCATGAGTCGGGGGGAAAGGCGGACCACCTAGGCATTGTCACTATTGATGACGATGTCGAACGATTGAGCAGTACAATCCTAGGCCCTTTTTTTTTTTTTTTTTTTTTTTTTTTTTTTGTGGTGGCTCAGAGTCCGGGGAAAACGCGCGCTTGGAGTGAATCCGGCAGGCAGAAAGATGGGAAAATGCTGGATGCAGCCAGCCTGCAGGTTAACAAACTGCAGATTGCGGATACGATTTGATCAATGTATCCGTGTCTATCCGCTTCAAAGTGACAAGCCCCCCGTTCAGTGCAGACGACGATCCAAAGGGGTAGGTAGGTATGGAAAGTTGACTGGTGTCTCCTACCTCGACGGGGGCGTGTGTATGCATGTGTCAGTTAACCGCCCAAGAGCCCACCAACCCCAGCCATGGAACGACATGGTGCCAAGGAAAATGGGTGAAAGATAGGGCCTGAATGGGACAAATAACACCAACTAAAACGTTGAAAAATACACATCCCCTACAGTTTTTTTCTTGTGTTCTTACGAATGGAGTTGGAAAGCTGGGGCTGGAATTGTAGATGGGGCTGGGGGGCTGGAAGATCCCATCTGTGCCTTGGTTTTTTTTTTTATGAAGGGTTCTGCCTCACAGGGCTTAATGTTGGTTAGCAAGGGCGGGGGGGGGGGGGGGGGGGGGTTGGGGGGGGAAGATGGTTTGGCTTTTGGCGTGGTGTCACGGGGTGGTGTGGTTGTGTGGTGGGAGGGGGGGGGGGGGGGGGGGGGAGTGAGTATCCGTACGTAAAGTTGTTACCTGTTTACGCCATCTATACTCGCTTTAGGTCAGGTAATGACAAGTTTGACAAGAGAACAGAAAGTTGTGTTGTTGCGTTGGCCCTTTCGATGACACCCACCCGCGCATACCCGCGCAGAGATACAGGCACGTACGCAACACCCTGGGGAAACAAACACAACCGAGCCCTGCGGAATAGGCGGGATCAAGATTAAATAGTATTCAGACTTAGTACCCGAACTTCCTGCCTTGTGAAAAGGGTGTGAGTGTACCGAAAGCTGTACTTGAATAAACCAGAAGAAGGGGGGAGGTTATCCCCCCCCCCCCCCCCATCGTTTCTTTGCAACTCGCCTGTCTCACGCAGTTGCTGTTCAAAGTCTAGCCGAGAGAAAATTCCCATCAAAAGTGTTCCACAAACTCCGGTGGGGGAAGGCATGTAGATGTACGGATCTGGGCAAACAAAAGATCTTGAGAGGAGTTGAGAGAGAGAGAGAGAGAAGGGAGAGAGGGTTTTGGTTTGTCTTTTTTTTTTTTCCAATTCCCCCAGAACCATGCCGCCAGTTTGAGGTAACCTTGGTCAAAAGAGGCGCCTCATCTTCCCCAGAAATGATTCCCCAGTCCGCCACCGTAACCCCAGAAAAAAAAACCCCCTTTGAATTATCCCCCCCCCCCCCCCCCAAAAGGGTCGAATCTCTTGTGTGGCTTGAGGCCCCTCCATGATTATTCGATGTATCATTCTCGTGGTTTGGCAGCTGTTTGTGGGGGAAAAGACGATGCTTAGCGACTTTGACTCTGAACTTGCCATTTCTGTAAAGTCCCGTCTGGGCAAAGTTGCGCGGATTACGTACGGCGTCATACCCCTTAGCACCTACCTTCTCTCTAAAGTGTGTGGGGTGGGGGGGGGGGGGGACCCGGGGGGAAAAGTAAGAGAGGGATGGGATGGTGGAGGGAAACGCCCGCGCAGCAGCCCGCGAACCCCGGACACCACCAAAAACCGTCCACCACACCCTCCCTTTCCCCCCCCTTTCCAACCCATCATAAGGAAAAGAGAGAGAGAGAGAGAGAGGGAAACAAACGGCCGCCTGGGCACGGGTTCCGATCATCGGTGGTGGTGGGTGTTTCTTGGTCACACCCCAGATGCACCCTCGCACACATCACAATTGCAAACACGAGGGGGGGGGGGGGGACAAATCAGTCCACTGTTTGAGACACACACACACACACAAGCAGATAGAGTCCCGTTTTAGGTCACTAGATTCATCACATCAAACGGCGAGGAGTTGGAACGCTGTTGAAAGTGTGGGGGGGAAGATCTGTTTGGATTTCTCCTCCTCGAGTTTGTCGAGGGTTTATCGAGTAAATCTCTTTCTAAGAACAGTTGTCAAGGAAAACAAGCTTTCGTCCAGCCAGCCTAGGCGGCGACGTTCGTCGTAAAGAAAATCCAGACATAAAAAAAAACCAGTAGACCAGAGTGTTAGCGCTGTCTCTGCGCTTTAAAAAAACAAAAAACCCGCCCAGAGAGGAAGAAAATCCTCTCGCGTGCACCGCCCAAAGTTGTTCCCGCCGTCTATAGGTTGATATCTTGGTTTGTCTCCGTCCCATCGCCGATACAAGCAAATCCGTGACACAGATGAGAAAGGACGGGTTTTGTAACGACCCGTTGACGTTCTCATACACACACACACACTCACAAAATCCCTATATCCATCACACACAAGAAAGAGAGGAGAAAAAAAGACACAAGAGAAATGAGTTTTGCTTTTCGTTGTTGTTGAGGGGTGAGGGTGCAGTCGTATTTCCGATCTCTGGTTGTTCGTCCATCGAGGTAGGAGTGAGTCTATAAGATTGAGTGTAGCCGCCACTGCAAAAGAGGAGCCCATCGAATTCTTTGGTTTGTTTGTTGTTTGGTGATTAGATAAAGAAGTCGTGGTCGGCCAACTCTGCCAATTCGAAAATACCCGGAAACGCCATTGTTCTTCTATCCCGTCTATTGCCCAGGTCGTCAGGTCATGCCACTTTAAGGTTGTCGTTCCCGTTACATCCGATCCATGAGGTCACCGCCGGCAACGCTGCCAGTGGTGGAACTCCTGCCGCTCTGGAAACCGTCGTTTCCGTCCAGAAGCTGGTGAACACCAATCTTGGGGACTGGCAGTTTTCTGCCGGCGTCAGGCCGGCTGATAATGTCTGCCAGAGAAGCACCGTTCCGAGTGGGGGTTCCGGCGCTGGTAGGCGCGGGAGGGGGAGGCAAGTAAGGAGTCTCCAGGTGAGGCTCGAGAGGAGCCAAAGCAGGAGGTGCCGCGTGCTGCAGGGAAAGATTACGGAGAGAAGGCAGCTCGTAGCCCATGGGACGAAGTCTCGGGGAGTGAGCGGGTGTAGCGATAGGGGTGTGGTCGGGAGTAGGCGACAAGGAGTCGTGGGAGAAGGTAGGGGAGGATGGTGCCGTGGAGTTGGGCGAGTTGGGGCGAGATCGCTTTGCGTGGCGAGAGCCAGCGTAGTGGTCATCGTTGTGCTCATCGTTGGAGTGCGATCTCGACATGTGGTAAGCCGAAAGAGAGGGGAGGTGGCCGCGCGAGTTGTGCAGGCTGTGAGAGTAGTAAGGGTGATGTCTGGCAGAAGAGCCGTGGAAAGGCGGTGCGGTGAGCGTCTCACGCTCAACCTGGTTCGCAGCCTTTGCCAGGATAGAGATGTCCATGTTGGACTGGCCCTGCATCTGGCGGCCAAAGGGGCTGCCGTGTCCCGGGTGAGCGGGCAAGACGTACTGAGAAAACGAATGCGGCGGCGAGACGTTGGGCGAGGACAAGCTCGAAGTAGGCGCAGAACGAATCGTCTTGGGTGCGGGAGGAGGAGCCATCATGCCATCCTGGGGCAAATGGGGCTGAGGACCAGAGTTGTACTGGTTCTTGCCTCTCCTTGAGTTAGGGTTGCTGTGTATTCTTGAGTGGCGGGTGAGCTCGTCTGAGCGAGAGAACTTCTTGCTGCAGCCAGGGTACTGGCAAGCGTGAGGCTTCTCTCCAGTATGAGTGCGGATGTGTCTCGTCTGGTGCTCAAGGCGGTGGAAGGCCTTGTCGCACAAGGGGCACTTGTAGGGACGCGGAAGCTCGTTCGGGTTCTCGGCGGTCTGGCCGGGGAGAGGACCCTTGGGCTTCAGCTCGTTGAGAGGACCAAGCCTCGTAGTTTCCATGGCATCACCGGACATCATTGTGTCGTTTTTGTCGGGGTTGAGTAAACTTGAAAAGTTGAAAGGAGATGGTTGTGTCTGCTGCATGTGATCGCCCATTTGCCCTGATAATCCAGAGCTGGGCCGCTTTGCGGGAGTAG